TGTCACATCTTTTACACCAACTTTCAACAAAACTTCACTTCCTACAATCTTTTTTAACAAACAAATTAACACTGACGTACGCCTGGAAAAATGCAAAAACATATCGCCAAATATTCGTGAAAGTGTACTTGAAAACAGCAGAAAACAAGTTAAAAAAGGCAGTGATCTGGYCGCGTCTAGTTTCCGTAGATGAACATGAGTTTTGGAAAACATAAAGACTGGACGACAACAAGTAAGCTAAGCTACTTTATGATTTCGATCCTCTTGGGGAAAATGAAATATGATTATTGCAACGTTTTTACTACTGGAAGAACTTTTACTAAATGATTTCGTTTCGTTTTGTGAATTCGTTTTAACTTCAGTTCCTCTTGAGCAAACTCACACATTTGTTGTTACTTCACAGTGCGCGAGGCAAGAACTCGATCTGTACCCCTAAACTTGCCATCTAATCTCAAGGAATATTTTAAAAACTCGCAAAAACAACACAGAAGGTTGGTGGAATTGTTAAAACTATCAAGTCTAGCTAGTTGATATGTGTATTGCACGCAGATTGGAATTAATTGCGTGGCAACCAGTCAAAGATCTATACAACACTAAAAACATGAATGTGTATACATCTTTTTCAAAAAAATCTTGTCATTTTGCACTGCATTCAGTCATATTAGAGAGTACATCAGTAGAGTGCGTACAGTATGTCCGTGGAAAAAAAATCGTAAAAATTACACAAATTAGTAAGTTCAGTAGACCTGACCTAATTCGTACATTGATTTTGTTTGTTAACTTTTCTCGGATATATGATATCGTTCTAGTACGTGCATGTGACTAGATTTTGGGCTTGAACAGATCTTCCACAAACACGATGATTACTGAGCAAAGTTCAAACTAAGGAGAAAAGCACCGGCTTTGTTTAAAACAAAGGTCGGTGGTCCTTAGCTTATAGTGATAGTTTACCCGACTTGTGGATGTCTCCAGGGGAAAAAGGATCCCAAATATCCCGAAGATATTTTTGGTTGACGGCTCAAGAAACCGTCTTTTTCTCTGCAGTTCCAGCGCCAACTCGGAAGCTGAAGAACGCCATAGGTATCACAATCCGCACGGATCAAGCTACCGGGCTGAGAACGGAAGACTAAGAGACAGGAGGAGGGAAGCGCTTGTACATGTTAGCAGAAATAATCCTCATCCATTTAGGATTCACTTCCCTTTCCAAACAGGAGATAGAGTAAGTACTGATCGAAGGACTGATTATGTCATCGAAACTGAACGCGCGCAACATTCTAAATGCATTTTTCTCTTGGTCTAGGTCAAATGGCCGCTCAGTTAATCGTATATCCTTCCTCCTCTCCCTATCAGAAGCCCAAAAGTTAACGTGAATGTACTTTATGTGTTTACAGCTTAGTACATATATGGTATGGTTACCAATGGACACCGCACAAGTCGATAACACGCCATCACTACCAAACATACACAAACACAATCCAAACCAATCCCGTGCACTTCCACTAGGACCTACTACAAAATACCACACCTCCAGTAATAACAAACGTGAATCGTATGAGAATCCAACCACACCCGTATCTACTTATCAGGCGGAGATTTCCAGTATGGCTGTACTCAGGAATCGAGGTAATATCAGTAAGCCGCACCACTAACGATTTAATGCGATTGGAATCTGTGGGATTTGACATGGCTCCCAACTGTCAAAAATTTTTTATCTACGACCATTTTAACCATATATGCTGTAAAAAAAGGAACAAAGGAACAAAGGAAGGAAGGAAGGAAGGAAGGAAGGAAGGAAGGAAGGAAGCAAGGAAGGAAG